CACCGCTGTGGTAAAGGAAGGATGGATATGAGGGGTTCTCACTAGATAGCTAGAGCCCGCTCTATGTGAAGTAATTTTATTAAACTTGATTATCCCCAACATGGAAACTATGAGGGGTGAAAGGCAGACTGCTGTGGGTGCTATTAACCTTTAATAAATCATAGCAGAGGCATTAAGATTTATGCAGGCATGTGTCTGTGCTTTTTCAAGAACTTCTAATAATCCTATAGACCCACTCGCAGGGACGTGAAGGCGCCCCTGCCAGGCTGGAAAGACGCTACTGCTCCTCTGCGGCCCCTGGCAGGCTCACTGCCTGGGCCTCAGTTCAAAAGGCAAATTCTCGCCTAACTTTGATTACAAGTCAACCTCCGCTTGCTAATTCAGCACACTTGCCACGAGTTATTGGCTTTCCTCATCTCTTCCTCATTTCTCCCCTGTGGCACACTTTCCTGGAACCGAACCCCTCAAGTCTCTGCTTGCTGCCCCCAAGTTCCAGGCCATCTGCTAGGCGAGCATCCATGTGACAGAGCTCAGGGCCCACGCTCCTCCAGAAACAGCTGAAACGCCTAACACTTCTCGAAGGAGGGAAAGCCACGGAGCAGCAGGGTTTGTTCCTCTTCCAGCTGTCGAGTCTGAGTCCCTGGGGAGCAGGGGAAGACTCCAGCTGCGAAGCTCCGGGGATGCCAGCCTGCGGGGGGCCGGGCTGCCGCACTGACCGCCAGCCCTGGCAGAGAAGGGTGGCACCAGAGTTAGTGTGCCCATGAGCCTTCTCTTAGATTTGAGAAAAGACAGGCGTTTTCCTCCCAGGATGCAGGGAGCAAAGAATTACTTCCTGGAGCCCATTTGTTAGTATAGGATTTCTTGTAGAAGAAATTGGCAGGGTGTCTCTGTGTTCTAGAAAATACCCCACACCTCTGGTGGAACACATCCTAATTTTAGAGGTGAGAAACCTCATGTTTAGGCTGTTATGTGAGGCGCTGTGTTTCTGAGCATTGAGCCAAGTCTTTTCCCCGTGTCTGAGCCACGGCACCAGCCGGTGCTGCACGTGGTCAGGGGCTGCTCCGCCTCCCTCTGACTTTTCTTCTTGGAGGGAATTTACACACACACTCACCTCAGTGTGCTCAGCACACCCTGACTTTCAATTTCTTAAACCACCTTAGGCAAACTGAGAAAATCAAGACTTCAAAACCACTGGGTGTACCTGCCAGGGAGGTGGGTTACAGTGAGAGCGAAGGGAGGAGGGAGCAGTGAGATATGATGGTTCAAGCTAGGGAACTTGACTGAAAGGAAATGAAAAACTTTAAATTTTTTACACTGACCTTCTGCTAACATTTTGTCACAAGCACAGGCCAGATCATGTGATTTCTCAGGAGCTTCTTATACAATCCTCCCCCATGAAAGAGAGGCTGGGCAGAGCCAATAAAAGGCCCTCGTGTTCATGGTCAAAGGCAAGGCTCCTAGAAAGAAGTGGCCTACCCCTTTCCAGCTTCAATTCTGGACATCTGATGACAAATCCCTATTTGAAAAGGAAGATTTGCGTGGCTATCTTAAAACAATAATTTTCCATTAGTCTTTTTCCCAGGGGCAATAAAGGGCAAAAGAACCCAAGAATCGACATGTGTTTCTTCAACATCAGGATACACTTCGATGATGAGTTGAATGTTAACAAATCAGAAACACATGGCTTTAATCGACTGTGAAGTAAATAATGTTTCAGAATGAAAAGAAAAAGTTTTCAGATGGAAAGCATTAAGAGGGACTCAAATCTCAAAAGATGCTTCAGGCATCTGAGCCCCCATCTACTCCCAAACCCATTTTCTTTCCTCGCCTTCCTGTTGGAGTTCAGGTTTTCATGAAAGTAAATTACTGCTGGATTCCCTGACCTATATTCTCTTGTAAGCATGTGTCTCTGGGAAACTGTGGAGCTTGTAAAAGTTTCAAAGTAAAAGCACAAACACCTTTAGGTTTAGGACCAAGGCCCTGGGTGTGAAGACAAACTCAGGATCGGTGGAAGCGGAGACAACAGGCCCAGATCAAAGCTCATCTTTTGATCTCCAAGATGCCAGTCCCCACTGGCATCTCCATCCCCAGACTCTGATATAATCAGTCACAAGGAAAGATGTAGGCATTGGTCTACCTAGATCTGCTTTTCTGACAAGCACCCAAAGAGATATGAATCAAACTTAATAAAGCTTTAAATAGCACTCACATGCTGGGCAATGTTCTAAGGGTTTTACAGAATACAGGCTCTTGTAATCCTCACAACAACCCATGAGACAGGCAGGCACCATGATCATGACCTCCATTTTACAGATAAGGAGACTGAGGCATAGAGAGGTTATGAAACTTGCCCAATGTCACATAGCTACTAGCAGCAGAGGCAGGATCCAAATGTGCCTGGCTCTGAAAGTCAGGGCTCTGAACTACTATTCCAACAGTTCTCCACATGCGGTCCTACAGGGAGCTGTTTAGAAATGCAAACCCTTAGGCCATACACTGATCTACTGTTAGAAACTCTGGTTGCAACTGGTGCTTCCTAAGCGCTCTAGATCAAGCATGTCAAACTCATAGCCTGCAGGGCCACATGTGGCCCACACCAAATATTTTTGCAGCCCAGCCAATAAAACAGTATGTAAGAAATGTTTTTATTAAATTTTTGTAACTTAATTTTTATAATATCCTGTTATACATAATCTATACTAATAAAAGGGTAATATGAAAATTGGTCAGGACACCCGCACAGTAACAACCGAATAACAGGCTGCATGGGGTGACCAGGACAGCAGGGGGGGTTAGTGAGGGGCAACCAGGCTGGCAGAGGAGGGCAGTGAGGGGCAACCAGGCTAGTAGAGGGGGGCTATGAGGGGTGACCAGACTGGCAAGGGGGGGCAATTGGGGGCAACCAGGCTGACAAAGGGGAACAGTTAGGGGCAACCAGGCCAGCAGGGGGGTAGTGGAGGCGACCAGGCCGGCAAGGGGCAGTTGGGGTGACTAGGCCAACAGGGGGGGAAGTTAGGGGTGATCAGGCCAGCAGGCAGAGGTAGTTAGGGGTGACAGGCTGGCAGGGGGATAGTTAGGGGTGATCAGGCAGGCAGGAAGGTGAGCAGTTAGGAGTTAGTGGTCCTGGATTGTGAGAGGAATATTTGACTGCCGTTTTAGGCCTGATCCCTGGGATCGGGTCTAAACTGGCAGTTGGACATCCCCCAAGAAGTCCTGGATTGGAGAGGGTACAGCTGGGGTGAGGGGACCCCCCCTCATCTGTGCAAGAATTTTGTGCACTGGACCTCTAGTTATTAATAATGAATTACAACGTTCACTAATGACTGATTACTATAATCACATAGCATTCTTTTCCTTTACATACCTTATACACAGGCACACCATTTCTCTCCACTAATACTAGCAGTGAAAATTTTAGTAGTTGATTGCCACCTCATTAGTCTTGTTCTGACTTGTTTGGTGCATGCAACAGAGAATATTTCGCTTTTGGAGAACAAGAAAAATAGGTTTACTTGCGTTATGCTTATTAACTGGTGCAGTTTTTCAGTGTCTGGTAAGTTAATGCTCAAGAAAAATATTAATTTTTATTAAAATGTTCTATTATTTTATGTTAACGATCACTTATTTATTTCAGCCCTTTGTATTCAGCATATCTCTATCGAAATAAACCTACATTTCTATGAAAATTGAAGCTTTTGTTTATTTGTGGCCCACATAAACTTACACCTTGTTTATTTGGCTCACTTTAGCCTTTGAGTTTGATGAGCTTGATCTAGATGGGTCTAAAGTTTGAAAACCACTGCACCTCACTGCCTCTCCTATGCAAAGGGTGTATAGATAAAGACCAGAACCCTGGACTCTCTGCTCAGCTTCCCGCCTTGTGGATGGCGGTTGGGTGCACATGGTGCCATCGTCAGTGGACGGTGAGCTATATCTTCCAGTGACCGAGAACTTGGAACAGCTGATCTGTGGGCTCTTCTCCCACCAGAGAACATGACCATAACTCGGTCTGCAGCAACGTGGTGCCTTGTCCAATTAAGGGATGAATTCTTCCAGGATGACACCGCTGCGCTCACCACACACAGCAAAGCCACAGGAGACTCAGCCCCTCACTGACTGATCCCCAAACCTCTCTGTAACTTTTCCCTGCTTCTCTACTAATGAATGAGATTGTGAAGCAACCCAGTGTCTCCATACGGCTAAAGACCAAACCCAAACACAGCAATCTCTTTCTCACGCCTCTATTAACAGAAGAGTACAGAATATCCCTAAGTAATTTTGGAGATACTTGCCACACTTGAGTCTCTAAAATTTCTGTATGTGCAGTAAACTAGTCCCTCTCCCTTTAGGAAGGGAAGGGGGTGGGTGAGTGGGGAGGGGACGGGTGAAAAGGAAGTTTGCAGATGGGCAAAACCCTCCAGCAGCCAGGCACTCATCTCCCTGGAGTGATTTACAGCTTTCCTTCAAAACTAACCATGGTCTCACAGAACATTAAATGCATGACACCAAACATTTGTAAACAATCCAGGAAAATAAAGTAAGGCCCTCATGTTGCATGGGGAGCGCAGTGGAATTTGTGTTAACATTCTAAAAGAAGATGGCCTCAATTTGGCTGAAATATATCCTCACATATTGTTTTGCAGAGCAGAGCTGTTTGAGAAATTCCATGGCAATTGTAAGTGCTGAATGGGGAGCACTTTGCATTTCCTTTGACGATGCTGAAAGCTGTAAGCAATCCTGATATTAAAATCTTTGGAAATTGATGAGTACCCCAGGCATCGTTACAAGGCTTTCTCCCCCAACCCAAGTAATTAAAATCTATTATGTGAATACATGTTAATATTTTATCAACTACTGTTTTTCACCGACTCCACGTGTGAAACCTCCCAGAAATAGGAATGATATCTGTTCATTTTAAATGTCGCCCCAGTGGCCACTCCCCTCGATTCCCAGCCAGACGTCTCCCCGTGGAGCCCCGTGGGAGTGCCGCACACACGTACCACCGTGCTGAACTCCGGCACCTGCCACAGCAGCCAGTCTTCGTTCAGGGTGTACAGGGCCTTGCACGTGATCACGTCTACAGGACCCTTGTTTATTTTCTGGTTTAAAGTCGTCACCAACAAATAGAACGGCTCTCCAACAGTCTCCTTGGAAAAGGCACAAACGTGACAGTTAGCTTCCTGTGGAATCCACTGTACTTTCCAAAGAATTAAAGTTTCAGCTTATGGCGGTACCACAGGAGACGGGAGGCAGTGCTTTCTAACAACCAAAGGCAACTCCCAGGAAATACATACTCCTCAGCTTAGGACTGAGAATGCACACACACACACACACACACACACACGCACACACGCACACACACACACATGCATGCGCGCAGGCGGTGAACAGCCACGTGGAGTGCGTGCGGGGTGGCGCACTCTTGTCTGCTGATGCCTCTGCGTGCAGACCTATGCTCGTCAGTTGGCTGTCCCTAAGAACACTCAGTAGATGCGGAGTTTAACCTTTGTATACATTTCTATTTAATTACCTGTTTTTAAAAGAAAAACTGAAAATAAATTGGCTTTTTTAAAATTCACCATTAGCCTTGGTAACTAGGATAAACGTAAGGACATTTTAGACTGAAATCTGCCAAGAAGGCTGCTTTTTGGTGTTAACAGTGTTTCATGAGGGAAGTGGCTTCCATTAGACAGCAGGCAGGCCAGTCCTGCCTGGCACCTTTGCGGGGCGGGGCCCCAAGTGTGTCACCACCTTTTCCTGGACCAGAGCCAACTGCAAGCTCTAAGGCTTTTGCCAAACATCCTGATGGCTCCGTTCTCCACACCCTGCCATGTGCACTTTCTCCTGGCCCGGGGCTGCCACCCCTGCCGTTGCTGAAATGCCTCAAGTTTGTACCTATTTTGTGGTCAAAGGGAGTTGGGGCAGTCCAAGTGGAAGCCTGTGCATTCTGCCTTTGCTAAATAATAAACCGTTTATGAGTCACGGACATTAACCAGAATATGTGGGGGAGGAAGAACAGGGCCAGACCCAGGAAGTCAGACTGCCTTCCTGACCACAAAAAGCCAGCCACGTGACCAGGGCTCAAAGCACCGGTACGAAGCCAAGCTTCCTGGCCACTGCCTCTGGCTTTGAAAGGCGCATCCATGGACCGCTCTTCTGCTTTCCCTTGAACACGTAAACCGAGACTTCTTTTAAGTCTCTGGGTCCCTCCGCCCCATCCCATCCTTCAGACGTATTCCAACGGCATGAGCCCTCCCGAGTCCCGGAGCTTCCTCCTGTCCCTTCTGCCCCGACACGCCAGTGGCTCCCATCCTCTCTCTGTCCCCCCTGCTGCAACATCCCCAGTCTCCTCATTACTGCAGGACAGAGGAGGGATGTTCAAAAACTCCCCAGGTGGAGACGTACACGGCATTTAAATTCCTTTGAGGAACTTCCTTTATTTTGTAGTCCACAACCACACTGCTCTCTTCTCTTCCCCTCCGCTCTCTTGGGTAATGTCCTGACCGCAGACCTAGAACCTCTGCTTCTCCTTTCCTCCAGCACAGGGGTCCTCCCAGATCACGGTCCCTCAGAGAGCTGGAGGGCCGGACTGTATGAACTACTAATTCCTACTGTAACACCTCGGCTGCGCTCACTGCCCAAAAAACCTGGCGGGCCGGATCAGACTCCTCTGCGGGCCGCATGTGGCCCGCGGGCCGTAGTTTGAAGACGCCTGCGGGCAGCACATCAGAGGCGGGTGGTGTTCATGTGAGGGGCTGAGGTGCCCACAGAGGAGATGGGGTGCTGCCCTGGGGAGGCGACGGAGGGGATCACAAAGGCAGGAGTCAGGGGCCAGGTGGGCACTCCTGGCCTGTGTGGACTCAAAGGGATCCTTCCAGGGGCGGCTAGACCAGGATAAGTAGTATCTCGTCTTACTCTGCTGCTCACAAACGAGGTAAAAGCTCGGATGCTCATCAGCAGAATTCCTGGGGGCTCTTGTAAAAAAATATGGTGCTTGGGCCCTTTAAACCTACACACCGGACTCTGTCAGCTAAGGCTTGGGCCTCTGTTGCGTTAACACCTTCGTAGGGACTCAGAGGCGGGCCTAGGAAACCATGGAGCCTGTGGTTTCTTTGTCAGCTCTGAACACAAGGACTAGGTTAGGCAAACCTGCTGAGGGCTGAGGCATCTGGTCAGATCAGGACACACAGTGGCAGAGCCCTACTCACCCAACAAACCTACCCACCCCTCTTGTGATGGCACCTAAACTTGGCCCCTTCACTTCCCTTTTTCTGTGAGACCTGACTCTGGCCCTGGCTGAGCCAGAGGCGTTCGGCATCTGTGATCTCATTCCATCCTTAAATCCTCCCCTAAGCCTGGAGGAAGGTCCCTGCCTCGCTGGGGAGGCAGAAAGCAAGCGGTGGCTAAGAGCTCCAATCCCTGGGGCTGTCGCATGCCGGCTGTGGGGCTTGGGGAAACACATGGATTCTATGGGCCCCAAGTCCCTATGTGCAAAATGGTCATAGGGGCACTTACCTCATGGGATTTAAATGAGAAAAGATGAGCAAAGCTCCCAGCATGATGTCTGGCACATTCAATAAATGGCAGTAATTAATATTATTGTTACTTTACTGCCAGAGCCTGGGAGGTTCACAGGGGTAGTTACCTGAGGTTACAGAGCCAGGGGTGCCACCAAATGTTTGTGGGGTGAGGCAGGAGGACCAGGCAGGCAGAGTCCCAAACCACCTCGGGCACCTGGTGGGGGAAGGCAGGGGAGGGGGGGGCACTGCCCTTGCAGAGGGAATTATTCCACTGAAAACAAAAGTATCACCCACTTCCTCCCAGTGAGCACCCTGAAGTGCTCAAGATACCCTTCAGGCAGCATTCTGGAATCTTGACCCAGAATCCTCTATCTCAAGGGTGCCACTGGGGAAAACGTAACTATCTTATAACTATGTTTACCAGTTATAAGATAAATCCAATTCTAAATTGGAGCCCAGATTTTCCAAATGCCTCATCCGTTTAATGCCCAAGTTGCAAGAGCAAGGCACCGGCCAACCCTTGAGGGCCTGGAATTAGAATCGGAAGATCCCAGAAGAAAGAGCTGGAAAAGAGTTTAAAACCAGTGAGCACCCCCGCTACGTGGTGGGTAGATGCGATACTCAGAGACACACAGCTAGCTGGGGCTGAGATGCATTTAGAGCTCGAACCCGCAGCGTCTAACCAAGACTCCTAGTCCAGTGCTCAATCCACTACTCCAGGGTTCTCGAATGTGGAATTACCTGGAGGAGCTTAGGAAACATGGATATGCGCCCCCGCTCCCGCTCAGAGTTCTGGTTCAATGGGTTTGTGGTGGGGCAGCCATCTGCCTTTTAAGACTAAGTCCCGGAACTCAGTAAGGATCCTGCTTAGAAAGGTCCTGCTTAGAGGAAATTGTGGAGAAACCAGATTGGTGGAAAGCAAAAAAAAAAAAAAAAAAAAAAAAAATTCACCCCAGAAATAACCACTCAACACCTCCCCAAAGCGTGTGATGATTTATTCCAAGTAAACAGAAAAGAAGGCAGATTTCATTAATCTTAATAAATGGGCATTGCCTCAGGAGAGGAAGGGGATGGTTAAAAAAATTGTTGTGCATCTATTTGTAAGATTACATTAAACATTCAACTAAGCACAGTCTATTTAAAGCGCTGCTTTTGGATCTAAACTTAAGTAGCACTGTTAAAACCTGTGGCATAGCAGTATATCTTATTCAAAGTTTAATTAGATTTTGAAACTAGCTACAAATACACAATTATGCAGTTTTGCTGGAATCTGGGCGGTTTGAAATTAAAGAAGGATAAGAACCCTCTGCACCAGCGACCTCTGAGGATGGAGGGAGGTTGGGCTCAACAGAACACTCTCGCTCTTCTCCTGTTAATAGTTTATAATAATGGCCAACATTGATGGAGTGCTTACTCAGTGCTAAGCAACTGCACACATTTTCTCATAGGCACCTCAGAGCAGGCCCAAGATCTTCTTCCTCCAGGGCCACAGGTTATAAAACCTCAGCTCAGACAGCCTCTGGTAAGTGGTGGAGGTCTTAATTTCAGACCAAGCAGTGGGATCCAGGGCTTACTCTCTAAACCACTGGAATCTGCACAACGTTTGTATTTGAAAAAACTTGAAGATTCAATTAGATTTCAGCCAGGATCTTACAGTCACTCCAACAAAAACTCAAAGGGCAAATGGCTCCTTGGGGTCTTTCTTTAATGTGGGATGACCCGTAAGAACTGACTGTAATTAGCTTCAGCACATGGGTAGGTAAATGGGTGCTTCCCAGGTGCTTCAGAGGCCCCGAGAATAGCGTGTTCTTTCCAGTATCTGAAATATTCCCTCCACTCAGTACATTTTCTTAAATGGGCTCACTGGGCTCTGGTTGTTAATGAATGAACTGAGGTGGGCTCAAAAGTCAATGGGATGGGGGAAAGAGGGGAGATACCTACAATGCAATCAACAATAAAAAGTTTATTTTTTAAAAAAGTCAATGAGTATAAAATTTCAGTTATGTAAGATATATTCTAGACATTTATTGTCCAATGTCATGCTTATAGATAAAAACACTTAAAAATCTGTTAAGAGGCTAGGTCTCATGTTCTTACCACAATAAAATGTTTAAAAAGAGAAGAGTCCTACCTGAGGAAACTCTAAGTGAATGTACATTTGCATAGGCCAGCTACAGCAAAAACCATTTTTGTTTTCCCCTCTGTGTGCTCCTGGTGAGGACCAGTGATGGGTAACTGAAGAAGTTGAAAGTTTTTAGCTTTAAATATATAGTTAATAGGCTGAGTAATTGATGCAAGTAGAAAGCTATTGTTCCAGGGACTGGAATGCATGACTGGACTTACCCTGACTTCTAGAGACCCGCAAACAATTTGACCTTATGCCCAGAAGTACTCAAGTGACCGAGATAGTACCTGAGTCATTGTGGTCCAAGGAGAGAAAGTTCACCACCCAGGATGCAGAACAAGAATCACCTGTCAGCCTGCCTGGTGTGGTTCAGTGGCTGAGCATTGACCTATGAACCAGGAGGTCACGGTGAAATTCCCAGTCAGGGCATATGTCTGGGCTGTGGGCTCCATCCCCATCAGAGGATGTGCAGGAGGCAGCTGATCAATCATTCTTTCATCATTGATGTTTCTATCCCTCTCTCCCTCTCTCTTCCTCTCTGAAATCAATAAAAAAAATATTTTTTAAAAAGTTAAAGAAAAAAAAAAGAGTCACCAGTGTCAGATGAAGGGATGCTCAGAAAATCATCAAACTGCAGCTTTTATCTGGTTAACCTTTCCCTGAATTCTAAATCCTTTACCTATACTTTCCTTCTCCTTGTAAAAAGGCTCAAGATGTAATGTAAGACAGTCTTTTAGTGTACAGAACCTGTTGTCTTCTCAGATCATCAAAACGAAAAGCGAGGGAATGCTCATACCATGGAGTTATCCTGGCAAAGACATTAGCATCTGCTAAAAATAACTGCCTATTGTCTTACCTCTGACACTGCCGGGGTGTGTGTGTGTGTGTGTGTGTGTGTGTGTGTGTGTGTGTGACACTTACCCGCAGAAAGCCAGAAAGGCAGACGGACATCCAGTTTGTGAGGAGTTTTTCAACCACGGACTCAGTGCGTCTCAGCATGAGTTTAGGTTGCATGTTACTGGACTGCTCCATCAAGTCCCTGGTCAGCACCTCCAGGATGCTGGTCAGATAGACCAGCTTGGTTTGCAGTGCGATGGTTAAGAAGGAGGCAAACAGACACCTGTTTAAAAATAGAGCCTTGGTCACAATAGCCAAGACCTGGAAACAACCTAACTATCCTTCAGCAGGTGCATGGGTTGAGAAGATGTGACACGTATGCTGTATGCATGTAAATTGGAATACCGTTCTGCCATAAATAAGGGTGAAATCTGGCCATCTGCAACCATATGAATGGACCTTGAGGGCATCATACGAAGTGAAACAAGGCAGACAGAGAAAAATAAATACGCGGGATCTCATTTATAGCAAAAGAGATCAGATTATTTGTGGTTACCAGAGGCAGGTTAAGGGATGAGAGGGAGGATGGGCTGAAGGGGATGAAAAGGTACAATTTTCCAGGAATAAGTCAGTCCTGGGGATGTCATGTACAGCATGGTGACTATAGGTAACACCGCTGTGTGGTGTATTTGAAAACTTTTAAGAGAGAAGATCCTAAGAGGTCTCATCACAAGGGGAAAACCCATTTTTTGTAGCTGTCCGAGAGTAACTACACTTACCGTGGTAATCATTTTGCCATATATTTACGTCAAATCATCATGCTGTGCACCTTAAACTTATACAGTGCTGTATGGCAATTACATTTCAATATAAGCATAAAAGAAAAAGATATACAGACTACAAAAAGCGCGCACGCACACATACATACATACACACACACACGAAAAAAGGGAGCTTGGGTAATGTGCTTAGCCATCAGCTTGCTGGGCTCAGCCATCAGCTGTGCTGGGCTCAACACAGATGGCAGTTCCCAAGGAAGCCCGAGGGGCCTTGGGGTGCTGTCCATGGGTGCTTCTGTTCAGTGTCTGGGTTTCAACTACCTTCTTCCTCCATCCATGAAAACCACACGCCAATGTTAACTTCAGCACATTTTATGTGTTTTCAGCACTTGAACTTTAAACCAGAGCGGTAACAAGAAGTGAATGTCTTTCCCAAAATTTCAGGGTGTTTTTAAAAACAGAAAATAGCATTTCTGCTTTTTTGATTCAGGACTCATGATTTTTTCTCGGTTTGGGGGTTTCGCAGGGTTTTTTTTGGGGGAAGGGAGTTGCATGTGTGTGTCTTTAGAATAGAATTTGTGTTGGGGGTGTGATCTGAAACAGATTCCCCAGTGGCGTGACCGCCCAGCCAAGCAGCCTGCTGTCAAGAGCTGAGTCCAGGTGGCGTGTGGAAATAAAACAAGGAGCTCAGCTTTTACTTTCTCTACTTAATGACTTTCAAAATATAAATAAATTGACTAGTACCTGTCCTTTACTGAAAAATTCTTCTGTTTTTCAAGGGTGTGGATGACAGTAACAAGGAAACTTTTATTACAAATTAGGGCATCCAAAGCTGTGAGACTCTCATTCTTGGCATTGGCATCTCTGTTCTGGGGGGTAAACAAAGAAGAAAAAAAAGTGTATACTATAGTATAATAGAATATAATAACGTAAAGTTAGAAAGTAGGTCCACAATGGGTTTTCCAAGACAATGAATTACTTAATATTCAATTCATGATCCCAAAAAACCCACAATAAAAATTCAAAGTAATAATGGAGATGACGATGATGATGATAATAACACTATGCAAGTCAGGAAGTCATGGGCTAGAAATGAAAACTTATAGACTTACATGCATATCTTCAGTGAAGATGTGTGTGAAGCCACCTGACTGAGAGGAAGGAGACACTTTTATTATTCATAACATCCAAAGGAAATTAATGGTGCTTTTTGTTATAATACCCAAGTTCATTTTAATAAAGCAGAGACACTATTTGCTAATCTGAAGAGCTCCTGGGTTTATGCTCACTGAATAGTCTCTAATACATAATAAATAGTTACTCAGCTCTCAAGAGACATGAATGAATTCTGAAAACCCCTAAGAAGAATAATTTTCATGGCCTCAGTCCTGTTTTGGTAGATGAAGGCCTCTCACGCTTTAAAAGAACTGACTCACAGTTAAAGAAGTAGTAGTGAAATATGCAGACCAATCCTCAAGCCCTTTAACTTCTGAGCATAAATAGAGAATTGTGTCAGCAAGTTTTTACAAGTCTTAGCTTAGTAGTAACTCTTGTCTCGATGCACAATGTTATTCAAGAGAGTGGTTAAAAGTAGAATCTGAAGCCAAACTTATCAGCTTCCTGTCCTGGTTCATCACATACCGGTCACATCACTGTTGACAGGTTATGGAACCTCTCGGTACCAGACTTTCCTCATCTGTAAAATGGGGACAACAGTGATTCCACTTGTGGGCTTGGTGTGAAAATAAAATAAGAACTGCAGAGTAAGTGCTCAATGTCAGCTATTGTTTTTATCACCAACTCACAGCCAACTAGACCACGGTGCTGTTGTCCTGCTGTTCTAAAAATATTTTTATGTGCAATGCTATGTAGCCCTTGGATATACACTGTTAAATGTGAATTTTATTTTTTTTAATGTATCATAAATCTTATTATAATTAAATGATTAAATTTTAAAAGCATGTCAAATAACACTTTAAGTGAGTCAACAGAATGAAAAATAAACTGGAGAACATTCAGTGTTCTTTCTTCTTTGGGGGGTAATAATTGGAACTTTAGGCTATTTATCTTATTAAACTTCTTCTGCAGAGAATTTTTGCTTTATTTTTTTTTTAGCCCAAGCAAGAAGACCTTAACCATTTTGGCCATACTTTTTCTTAGTAGTAGGCAAAAAAATCAAACTTTGGATTTGCATCTCCCACTTCCTACTATTCTGCTGAATCAACTATAAGTAGATGGGCAATTTAAACAGGTTGATTCTTGACCTTAAATAGGGAAATGCCACCTTGGCTTCCCTAAGGCTCCTCCTTCCTTCCATTCAAATTTCCCTCTGCTAGGAAGTTAGATGCTCTGCTTACCCTTATTTCCTGTCTTATTTTCAGCAAAACAAACTAGTCAACATAGTGAAAAGCAAGGCTGTAAAAGTCAAACCCAACTGGGCAGGTGAAGAGCCAGAAACTGGTAATGCCTGGTCCTCTGTGAACCTCCAGTTTCCTTTGGGTTTTGCCTACTGTTCTCTGGTAGGTATTGACCACCCAAACTCTCCCTCTACCACCCAACCTCCGGGCCAGAGGTGGAGCTCCCGCTCTCTCAGCAGAGGGCCCGAGGAACAGGAGGAAAGTTTGGCAGCCTGGTGTGCATTTCAGTGGGCATTGTCCCAACAGAGTGTGTTCCTGCATCCTTTCTTACTTATTGATAATTCAGCTTGAATTTAGGTCTTCTCGATAGAGTTCTGATAAACTTATGCTCATTTTCCCCCGGGTCTTCTCCTTTAATGACTCCTTCTGTCTTCAGTTTTTATGGCTTTTCCAGTTGCCTTTCAAGATTATACATAATTGAGAGTCTAATCAGTTTAGCTTTTGAAACTCATTTTCTTCTCCTAAATCAGTGCTTTTCAACCTTTTTCACTCATGGCACACATAAATTAATTGGTAAAATTCTGTGGCACACCAAAAAACATATATATATTTTGCCAATCTGACCCCTTCACCCAATGGTATAATTTTGCTTCATTCACACCATACTTTCCCTTAGTAGTAGGCAGAAAAATCAAACTGTGGATTTGCATCTCCTACTTCCTACTATTCTTCTGCTGAATCATCTTTAAGAGATGGGCAATTTAAACAGATTGATTCTTGAACTTAAATAGAAAATGCCACCTTGGCTATTGTTGAGTTGGCTGTTGTCATTTTTTTTTTATTTGACAAACTAAGGGAAAAAGAGGTCAGTGCCCCTGACTGGTATTGCCTGTTTTAAACATTCTTGCGGCACACCAGTTGAGAATCACTGTCCTAAGATAATACAGAATTGTTCTTGGGACTTTTTTAAACAGTTACAACAGTGCTTCTTTGTATTCATCACTCTCTCTTGCTCTTGATTACTGAATTTAGAAGATAGGAAAATTTCTTTCTCAGGCCACAGATTAATCTCTTCAGCACTCAAGAGCAATCATTAACTGTAAAAGCCCACACAGTACTCATGTTGATGGTAGAAATCTCTGTCATTTTCTTGGCATTAAATTCTTAATGGGGATGTCCGAGAGCTGGGAGATGGAACTCCTGATGCAAGCTTGGCTAGACTCTGCACCGTCATCCTGACTCAGGGCATTGAGGTCCCTCCCACCACGGCCCTCTTCTATAGAAATGGGTGAGGTGGCAAAATGGCAAGTCTTGGCGGCTGGTACTTTTGGAGGATAAGTTTAAAAAATACTTTATAATGCAAAAAGCTGAAGTCTTATTTATAGCCTCCTTGATTTATGACAGTAAGAATTACACAAAAAATATGGTGGGTGTTTCATGGCAGCATCCCAATCTCCAGACACAACATCACATGTCACGGTGCCCACTTCTAGAATGATAGAGAAACTAGAAATTGCTTATGGCATGGGTCTGGAGAAGGGACACAAGTTTGCTTTTGGCTTGGAGAGATTTCTGGCTCAGAAGTCTTGGTTTAATCATGCTAATCGGTGTTGATGTGTTCCAGAGGTTGGGCCTCTTGGTGGTCACCAGTTCGGGACAAAAAGGGCAGTTTGGTGGAGCTGGGGAATTGTGATGCGGGTGATGACAGGAGGATGAGTGTACCTTGCCAGACTTGGGAGGGTAAATGAAGGAGGCCACATGAGTGGGTGAGAGAATGGAGGTGTGAGAACAATAAGTGACATCGAAACCCAAAGGGTTGAGTAGATTGCCCCTTGGAGTCCTACAGCAAATCCATCATTACGTGCAGCTGTTTCTACTAAATGAGCATGATACTTACTGATTAGCTAAATAATAACTACTGAAGGGAACCATAAAAACTCTACATTGTTAAAAATGGTTGTTATTAATTCAAGTCCTCCTAGACATGTCTACTTTCCTGCCTTTCGGCTGGTAGTACTTTTCATTTCCAATTGAGAAGTAATAGTGAATAATCTAGTGGCTGCAATGGAAGTCATGCAGATAAACACAACAAATTGGCCAGCCCACAATTTATTGATTTTTAAATAAACTAGCTCGCTTCCCTGCTACAAATTCAGTTCTACACTGGTAGTAAAATAAAGCAAAAATCATCACTCTGAACTTCTGTCCCTCCGAGGTTTTTGTTACTGGACAAAGAATAATTGCCAGCGACCCATCACTGCTCTGTACCCTAATCAATCCAATTAATAACTCTCCGCCTCTCTGATCTGCTCCAACCTAAGCCACTGTACTGCACCAAGCGCATCATCTACAGCTGCCTGGGAAGCAAACACCCGCTTTGACAATAGCAACAAGCACCTTCATTATTATTCAAGATTCAACCCTAGGAACATGATCAATGCTCTTACCTCGGGGAAGAAAGTTCTCAGAGCAAAATGTTTGTAGTCAAGGAAGGGAACAGTTCCAAAACTATCAACCACATCCAATTTATCCATCTGCAGCTCAGCAAAGCCTGCAAAACAGAATCCCAAGAGCAATATTTTAACTCGGCAAACAGAGGATAAAATCTTGTGCTGCTTTGTCTAATGCGAAGACTGACCTTGGTTTTCATTAGAGAAGAAACAATAGATAATTACTTGGTTGGCTGCAGAGAGGAGCTGAAATAAGACACAAAGTCAGGCCCAGACTCTGCTGTTCAGTTGTTTTCTATTACACAAACACTTCTCATTACCGTAGCCACTTCCATTTAAGGGTAACCCCCCAAAACAAACAAACAAAACTAAAAGGCTTGTTTTTCTAGAATGAAATTTTGGAGCCTACCGTCACGGATCTCCTTCCGGAGCTCGCTCTCCAGCAGCTCCAGCTGTTGGCTCTGCTTGCGACTCAGCTCCTTCGACTTGTGTCTGGTCACCCCCACGGCCACTGCGGACACAGATACCCAGCATCAGATTGACAAGTTAACTTAAAAAAAACAAAAAGGAAAACGAAAGTCACCCTTTATTGGGTGACTCAGTTCTTACACACAGAGAGAGACAGAGACAGTGTAGCTTCTAAGAGGGGGGATTTATAAAGAGAAAACCCCCTGTGATGGTGCACTCTGAAGAAGAGGATGCCAAAATGCAACTGAAAACAAAAAAAAATCCACTCATCTTAAAAATGAAGACTAAATCAAATCACCTTCCCTTGTATTTTAGTGTTTGAGAAATACAGGAGGCTTACAGTTGTCAGTTCATGAGACACAGTTTATTCTTGTATTTTTATTCATTAATTATTGTATTATTTTCCATACTTTTGCTCACCCCAGTGTAAGCCGCATTGCTTATCATTTGAATTGTGACAACGAATGTCCTACTTACTTTATTCCCTCAGAATTCTTCTGGGATTTTGGATTCCCATGACTTTCTCATCTCATCCCTCCCATCCACCCCAGCCCTGCTTTTCCCAGCACAACTATATTTTACAAGTGAGATCTACACAGCTATTAAAATGTTCCAAGGCTCATTCAAGCATGGAGAGCCCATGGTGGTTGCCTACTGGCTGAATCTAGCTGATGTGTTTTGTTTGGCCCACACATTTTTTTTTTTTTTAATTTTTGATGTACTTCACAATATTTTTAAATTAGATGATTCCCATTTTTAGAAATTTCTTGAAAATTTGAAGATGGATCATTGGATCCCAATTTCCCCACAGCATCAGTTTGCTGGAGCTGAGTAGCAGCTACCCCTTGAGAGGGGGCATATGTTCAGTGGGTTTTTGCCACAGTCTCCACTACTCTCTATTGCTTTGCTCAGGTCACTTAACTCATCTAGATTCCTGGTTCCTGTAGCCACTTAGTTTGTGAGTTCCAGTTCTGAGCTGCTTTTCATTTTAAGTCCGTTTTCTCTTGTGTTCTTAGAAAACACACACACACACACACACACACACACACACAGAACTCTTCTAGGGGCCATCAGGAGAGAACTTGGGGGTCAACAGAGGTGGGGCATAGATCCTTACCACCCCGCCCCCTTGCAACTTGGCAGGTGCCTGAACCTTCTCCCCTTTTGAGGGAAGTCTCCTGCCCCCTTGGCTGCTTTGCTTCCCATGCACAGCTCAAATTGGGACCCAGGTAACAGAGACTTGACTGACAGCAGCTGCCCTCTCACTACAACAAGACTTGTTTGAGAGGTCTTGTACCCATGGTGTGGGCAAGTGGGTTTTTAATATCCAAGACCAGCCTAGTAGCAGGAATGCTCAGGCCCTTCTCAAGAAGGAAAATAATCAATTCCACTAATACACACATGGTAAATAAATACACGGCTATTGGAAATAAACAAATATTCTAGAAAAGCTGATTGTACTGTACAAAAAGCTGTTTCTAAAGTGTTACTAAAATTTTTATTGGCAGAGCGTCTCATGATAAAATTGCATAACATGTAATGAACCTAAAGCAGTCATAGTTTAGCTCAAATAATTAAAATGCAAAAGCTATCAAGACTACATTATAAAATTTCCAAAAGCCTCCTCTTATTAAAATTAAAAAAGGAGGTGACAGTGGAAGAATATCATGTAAGGAAAATTATCCTGCAAGTAAATGACATCTAAAAAATTTGTATTTTAGGAAATTAACCTTCATTCGAAATGCTAACAGCAAGATACCCATGAAAATACACACATGGTGTCAAAACAAGCCAGAGGAAAATCATTTGGGGGGGGAAATGACAAAGGATCCCAAGTCAAATTTATAGAAAATATCCCTTTATTAACTTTTGGTCGAGAATATGTATATTTTCAGAAAACAACTTTGAGACCATCTGGATTCATATAACAGAGAGGAATAGACAGAAGTGCTCCAGCCATGAAGACAGAAGAGAAACAGTTCAGAAATGGAAGACGCTGACGATGCCTTGCCATACCAGCAGACAGCAGCTGCGTATTGCTGAAGGATACCTAAGACCAAACCAGAGACGGTCGGACTTGCATCACCACCATTTGTGCACCAACCAGATATGAAATATCATGGCTGACATGTACATATAAGGAACTGTTTGACACTAAAATTGGGACTCAAAAGAACTGTTGGCCCAGAAAGGAACTCACTACAGACTGATCCATTTGCCCCTCAGCATAACCATTATGGCTTGTCTCAGTTTCGGTTCTTACAAGGGTATTTCTTGGATCACATGTTCTCACACATCTAGAGGAAATAATGAACATAAACTGATGAAAAAAACAGACCCAGAGTAAGAGAAGAGGCAGCAATCAAACTCTCAAACCTCAGAGTGAAAGTAGGGGATGGTGGGGGTAAGGGGGAGAGATCAACCAAAAGACTTGTGTGCATGCATATGGGCCTAGCCAGTGGCCATGGACAACAGGGGGGTGGGGGAATGCGTGGGGAGGGGTTTGGGATGGGAATGGGGGATGAAGATAAATATGTGATACCTTAATCAATCAATAAATTTTTTTTAAAAGAAGAAAAAGAACTCTTCTCCACAACTAATGTGGCACTTCATACTTCAATTTAGCACAGGCATTGCCTTTCTAAGGTTTTCTGTTGACAGTTGCTAACATCTCCTTCCAGATACTCGCTCCCTCACACATTCACTCATCCATCTCTGCATCCATTTCCCTTGTGTTTACTGAGTATCTGTTCTGTTGCTAATAACTGTGCCGTCTCTGGGGCTAAGGAAGATGAGGAAAGGCTAGTCCTTTGTTGAGGGTGGTCCTCAGCCCAGGGAGGGAAGATTTGTGTGTGTGATTAACTGGCCTTGGAATGAACTCCTCTCGCGGGGACCCTCTTTGCCCTCTTGATGATCATTTCAGGTATTTTTTATGCTCTTCCCAAGTTGTCTACCCCATGACGTATCTGGAATCCAGAACTGGGCGTGGAGGCTTACTAAAGTCCTGTCCAAGGCTGGCCACGAGTAAGATTACATGTAAACTCTAAATGCTGGGCTCCATTCTGAGAATCCGCTGCCGTGAAGCAGCCGTAGATATGCTTCATTCTAAATCCACATCCCTGTTGCGGCCTACTAGGATCCTGTATCTCACCTTCCCCCACCCTTCACTTTGCTTGTAGAGATTGTTTCTGCTCTTTAAGGTAAAGTGGGCTTAAGCTGACATGATGCTTTTAGCTTCCTTGGTATCTGCAAAGTCCTTTAACCCTCATCTCTCTTCCCAGGGTTTCCGGGAGGCCCCGCCATCACAGCTGCAGTGAGTCTGCGCTTCGGTGCTCAGTCACATCCTGAGTGAAAGCACTCACGCACCTGGCCTCGCCTGCCGCCCACAAAACATCCCACCGTGGCTTCCGCTGGAGGTCACAGCCACGAAAAGCTCACTGCTCCGTGGCTGTGCCCACTAGCTCCCTTGACGTGCAGTGAGCAGTGCTGCCTAGAGAGCAGCCTAGGGAACAAAAGCCCCAAGTACTGCTCCTGGGAAGAAGGCGTCCGTGTTCAACCTGGGCATTGCTGCCTGCCCCACCCTTTCTTGAAGATGTACAATGCATGCTCTGGTTAAGACTTCTGGCTTTGCAAAGTGGTCCAGGGAGAAACTGTATTTAATTTTGCTTCCTCCAGCATCACTCCCATCTACTGGTAGCAAGGTCTTTTTTAATAATGAAACTTCTATTAAATTAAGGAGAAAAACTTTCCAGAATAAAATAATAACAATTAAATTGACAATTGTTGAACATTCTTTTTTCCCCCCTAAATGGTCTCAATGCTTTCTGTGAGTTACTTCTTTTAATCCTCTCAATATCACAGTAAGGTAGGCCCTTTGACTGTAAGGCAACGAGAAACAGAGATGCTAAGGGACGGACCTAAGGTCATGCAGCGAGTAAATGGCAGAGCAGGGAACAAACCCAGCACTAAGCCTGTTGGGTTTCCTGCCTCCGCAGCAGAGGTAGAAGCAAGATGAAGTGGAGAAAGAAGCAATATCCAGATACGGTGTTTCACTGCAGACCACACATCATCCCATCCCATTTGATCTCTGCAAGCTTGGCTTATGTAGCTAACTGTGGATTGTGGCTTCTTTCTGTATTTGCGGCTCAACTTTATTTCTCCAGGGACGTTTAGAAACATTAAGGAAAAAACAGTGGAGCAATATAAGTGGCCTGTGGCTGTAGAGAAACTTAGTTTGTTTCATTACCTTTTAGCCAACTGGGATCTTTGGTTACAAGCAAAGGTTATTTGATTTAGTTTTCATTTTTAAGATGAGTGGATTTTTTTGTTTTCTGTTGCATTTTGGCATCCTCTTCTTCAGAGTGTCTCATCACAGGGTGTTTTCTTTTTTAAATTCCCCTTCTACACTGTCTCTGTCTCTCTCTAAACATGCTTAGAAAGCCCTCAACATGCAGCTATTATTCATGCCACAAAGTTTGATTTGGGTTTTCATGCATTAATACTTTTAAAAAAATATATTTTATAGATTTCTTACAGAGAGAAAGAAAGAGGGACAGAGAGTTAGAAACAGAGATGAGAAAGAATCATCGATCAGCTGCCTCTTGCACACCCCCTACTGGGGATGTGCCCGCAACCAAGGTACATGCCCTTGACCGGAATCAAACTCAGGACCTTTCAGTCCGCAGGCTGACACTCTATCCACTGAGCCAAACTGGTTTCGGCTCATGCATTAATACTTAATTGAAGCCAACAGCCTCTGGAAGCTGAAATCGGCCTGAAGAGAGGCCCCAGAGAATAATTTTTCTGACAAAATTAAGTGGGGCACTTACCAAAAATGACGATGACGAGCAAGATGGGAAGCCCGATCAGAAAGTACAGAGGGGAAGCAACTGATTCCCGCTCCACATCAAGCTCCAAGTTCCCCAGTTTGACCTAATGGAACAGAGAGCATCGTTAGACCCAATGGAATTTGCCACCGGATCTATTTATACAATTTTCTCCCCCGACGTGGTTTTCCCCAAGATACAGAAAGAGATAGAAGCTAAGTGAGATATCTGAGTTCAAGTCCCATTCTGGAACAGATTAGCTCTGTGACCTTGAGCCAATGAAGAACATTCTCTGTGCCTTGGTTTCTAGATATGTCATTTGAGGTGTACTAGGTTAGACCTGGAGATTTTAAATCTGCAGATACCAGGGAAGTCAAAAGCATCGTGTCAACCTAAGCCCACTTTACCTTAAAGAGTGTAAACTAGGTGAAGGGATGGGAAAGGTGAGATCACAGGTCCTTTTTGAGCTGGGAGTTTTAAAGAGGTGAAAACTTGAAGGTGAGAAGCCCTTCCCCTTTGACCAACAGACTTTCATCTTTCCTACCTCCTGCATTTTCTGGGAAGGCCTATTTTAAATGAAGCAAAACCCAGTTTGGCAATTCTTCCTAGATGATACCTGAGGGCTTTTACCAATTTCAGTTTTTGGCTATAAAATTTTGTACAACTTGTTGAGGGAAAAACTCACTATAAAGCCTTAGTTGTACATCAACACACACACACACACACACACACACACATTAAGGCACATTTCCACCCCTGGAGCCAGGGCAGCCCCCCTGGAGCATCTGAGCAAAGAGCCAGAGCAGATTCTGAACCCCAAAAAAGAGCCCAGGTTCTAAGACCCAGCTTTGCCCCCTGCTCTCCTTACCAGATGCAGGAGCGTGAGATAGTTACCAACCATCCAATCCTCATGTTCTTCATCTTTAAACTGTAGCATCATCATGAAGATTACCTGAGCTCTGTCATTTAAGTAAGTGGGCTCATGGCACTCCTGCCTAAAGCCCTTTAGTGCCAGCTCTCCTGGCTCCCACAACCCACTCTCCAGCTCCCTCAGAACATCCCCCTGCTCCCTCCACTCTAGCCCCTCTTGCTGCTCCTCAAGCGCCCCAGGCAGGGACCTTTTGCAACCTCTGGCTCCCTTCACCTAGCTCACTCTACTGCAGGTAGCCCACAGCTCGTTTATCTCCTCTTTGAGCTCCTTACTCAAATGGCATCTTTACAGGGAGACCTTTTCTTCCCACCATCAAGAACTGAAGGCACTGCCTCATGTTCCTAGTCCCCTCCCTGCTTCATCTTTCTCCATAATGATGACCACCACCTAACACATTATTTTTTTTAATTGAGGAAGGAGGGAGGAAGGAGGAGGAGGAGAAGGAGAAGAAGAATAAGAGGAGGAGGAAAGAGAGAAAGAGAGAGGGAGAGGGAGAGGGGGAGAGAGAGAGAGAGAGAGAGAATATCAAACCCGCAACCCATATTTGTGCCCTAACCTTTTTGGTGTATGGGATGACACTCATCCACCCGACCAGGGCATCTAACACAATTTTATTTTCTTTGCTATGTATCTCTTTAGTTAATCTCCATAAAGGAGAGTGTTTTTGTCTCGTCTCCTCTGCTGTCCCCAGCACAGTGTGGCACTCGGGAACTATTTCATAAATAATGAAGAATGCTAGCATTTGCTCTTCCCAGCTAACTGGACATAGGGGAGCACTAGTGAGGTTAGCAGTTGTTATTGATTTGATGATGATTATTACCATCGTTACCATCCAACAGATGACAGAGGGAGGCCCGGCGAAGCTCAGTGACTCATCTAAGACCACACAGCTATCAGCTGGTGCGCTGGGACATGGACACATTTTTGTCTTGCCTTCCAGTCTGAAGTTCTTTTTTTCTTGTCCTTTACCCAATTATTTATGACTCTAGGTCATAAAGCATTTTTTTCCTGCTGTAGCCTGTGCAGAGCCTCATATGGCATAAACACTATAAAGGGAGACTTCTAATATGTTTCCCTTCCCCATGGCCTCACATCTTTATTGGGGGACATAAATATACCAGGGACGGGGCCCTCAAACATGGCTGGGAAAAAATTAATCACCACGAGTATGACTTCATGGTGGAGGGAGCAGCCCGCCCCCCCCAGGGGTGACCTGGCCTTCATGAGGCCTGAGTGCTCCTCGGAGAGAGCTAAGGAGGCCCCCGCTTTGGGGCTCTGTCGAGACTGTCATCTCTGCAACTGGGGAAAAAATGACAGCTCATCCGTCAAGGGGCGTGGAGATTCTGTTTGCAGATGCTATAGTCTCAACGTATGGCTAGAACAAAAGCTATCAAGACTCATTAGCAGTTGTAGACAATGATGTGTTCACCGCTCTGACATTCAAATGGGCCCGGGGAAGGGTTCTGGCAGCTATTTCAGAGGAAGTATGCCGGGGATTGCAATAATATCAGCTTTGTTCATCTCCTATTTAAAACGGAGATCTGAAGAATCAAGAAGGATTCCATTCTGGTTTAGCCGAGGAGTTCCCCCACATAAGGCAGCATGCAGGGCGGTCAGGGAACCTACGTGAACTCTCTTGGACGAGGTGGCGATGCTGCTTGCAGCTCTGATGCCTTTGACTTTGCAGAGGATGGTGGTGAGGTCTTGATTTCTAGTAATGTTCTCGAAGCTGCAATTCAACTGCTTGTTTTCCCCATGGAAGAGAGTAATTTCAATGTCTTTCTTGGAAATGTTGAAGTTGTCATTTTCTTTCTGTGAAGAACAAAGCAAAGATGAAGAAATCAGGGCGCATGTGGAAACTCACAAACACAGCATACCTTCCCCACCGAGGGGGGGGCACAGCCCACACGGAACAGGGGAAACGTACCAGAAGTTTTACTTCCAATTCCGTGTCCACCTCGGGGTCCACCCGGTACCCTGTAAATCTGGGGTCCTCTAGGTACTGCAAGCTTCCACAATCCAAGTAGGTCTCCTGAACTCTCAGCTTCACCATCACATTCGTACGCACTTTTGAGGTCTTTAAAGTGGGGGCTGAGAAACTGCAGTTCGTGGCCACACACTGTTCGGAGACCTGAGGGAGAGGAAAAGGACATTTCACAATATCATTAACGGGTCCCAGCTCTGGGATTTAGGAACCACGTGAGCCAGGCCACTAAACTTCTTGGTGCTTGTTTTCTCATCTGCAAAATGGGACAGCAATACCTCCTACCCTGCATGGCTGAACGAACCCTACATCAAATTAAGTGAGATGAGGGCCCATTGAATTAAATGAGGGCTATATCACATGAGATTATCTACACAAAAATGCTCAGTATAGTGCCTACCTATTATTATTAGTAGTGCTGACGACAATGAAAGCAGCCAGGGGATGATGTGGGGGGAAGACTGGTACGCAGAGAGAAGTACCGTGTTTTCCGGCGTATAAGACGACACCCTAACTTTACAGTTAAAACATAGGTTTAGGCCTATATTCGCTGTATAAGACTACCCCCCACTTCCGAGGCAACACCAATTCTTTTTTTAATAGACCACCTCTCTGACTCTGGCCAATCTGAGCAGGCTTTTTTTTCATTTCAAAGGTCGTCTTATACGCCAAAAAATATGGTAGGCTTTGCACCAGTGGGCCTGAGTGGCCTTTGCTGGAGTCCTGGGAAACCCCAGGAGGCCTACGCTGGCTGAACCATGCCGGGAACCTCTCACAGGCTCCAGCAGAAACCACTAACCACAGGGAGGAAGGGGCTCTGCAGGCCCCACAGAAAACAGGGGAACACAAGCTCCAGGGACAGTTCATTCCCCTGGAAAGAGCATGAAGGCTGGGAACAATGCAGAACGGGTGGCCCACTTTACAGGTTTATTTATAAAAACTAACACACAAATATTGGCATTTTCAGGTGCAGAGAGGCAGAGAAAGCTGCTAGGGAAGAGAGGCTGACAAATGTCTTACAGAGGAGCAACAAAATGTGCGGAAAGGAATTAGCCAGGTGGGGAGTGTTCCTCTTTTTATCTGCTCTCTAACACCGGCTTATACACAGGAGGTAGGACGAGGCCAGAGGTGGAGAAATCTGATGCTAAGGGCTGCGATGTGGACAAGCAAAGCCTCCTTCTCCCATCACTCCTTCCAATGACAGCCAGGCCTCCGCTCATATCCTGGGGCTGCGATGGAAACCACGGACCCGCTGCCCTAGCTTCGCAGCAGCCGTAACCCCAGCAGCCAGCTTCCTATTAGAGGTGTCTTCCAGGAAGATGATCGGTGACGGGGTCACCAGAACCTCATTATCCTCAACTCTCTCAATTTCCATACCAGTTATCAGCAGCCACTATTGGAAATGCGCGCGCTCGCGCTCGCGCTCGCTCTCTCTCTCTCTCTCTCTCTCTCTGTCTCTCTCTCTCTCTCTCTTTGTTTCCAAGCAACTGCTTGGCCAACTTCACTGGCCATCTTTTATTTCCTTTCACTCCTTAAAATGGAGCTACTGTGCAAGCTTCCACCCCAGGCGCTCCTCTCTGCTTCCTCGGCGTTCTCACTCCCATGATGCTGTGCCATTCTCCCTCTTACGGCAGCTTTGCTCTGCGAAGAGGACAATCATCTCCGGCTCCTCACTCTGCCCGGCCATCCAGTCCTGCCCCCTTGAGAACAGCCCAACGGACAGCAGAGTCACCGGACCCGCCCACACCTCAAACACACCTGCACTTGGCATGAGCACTCTCATCGGTCTCCTTGTCTTTATCAGTCACCGCCTCTCCCACGCACCACTGCCAAAGCAATCCTAAAGGCACCTCTACTTACACTGCTCCCTGCTCAAAGACCCCCAATTCTCCCCACCGCCTCGAGAATTGAGGGCAAACTCTGTCAGATACTCCGGCCAGCCAGCAGCTTTCCTGCCGGCCCTCTCGCTCATTCCCGCCCCGCCCTCTGGGTGCCAGCTGACCCGTTCCCACCGCAGGCCTGGGAGTGACCTGTCCTCGCCCTCTGCACCTGACCTGGCCTTCCTGTCACCACCTACCCAGCCCACTCCACTCGCATTCATAATCCCTCCCCACTGACTCCCCCTCCTGTGGAAACACACAGTGCCCCCTTGGACTTACAGGGTTTCTGAGCGGGCCAGGAATCAGAGGCCTAGAATCTGAGGACACCCATGCTTTCAACTTCAATGCCAGCAGGGATTGGCTATTTCCCTTCATGAAGGCCATGTGACCATCTTGTTTACTTTTTCCCCTGCACCCATCAAAATGTTTTGCCCACAGTAGGTACACAGTAAGTTCTACTTGATCTAGGAACAGCGCTGGGAGGGAGAGCAAGTCCACTCACACACTCAGGCCAGGCCTCTGGCCAAAGGGTCAACCTATGCAAACAAGTCAGTGGGGTGTGATCACATCATGGGGACATGGTCTGGAATCAGATACAACATGTTCTGTTCAGGAACTGGCTCTGAAGCACGTCAGTAGACAGTCATGGTCATATGTGTGAGAAGGCTGTGAGGACGACTTAGGAAGACCTCCTGCAGGAGCAATTGAACCAGGAATTATACCACACTGGGCCGGGCCTGTGAGGGCTCAAGTGCTCGGGGAAGTGGTCACGCTGGGCCCCAGGGAGCCTCTAGCCGCCACATCTACGAGGACAAAAAAGGAAAGAGAGGGGGAGGAGAGCATTTGGGAGGAGCTTAGACCTGCACTCAGAAACCCCAACCTGTATCAGAAACCCATCGCTTCCTGTGATGAGGCCCCTCTGTGATTCCTGTGGTGTGAGGACTGAGGGAGGGGTGGACACCAGACCGCTATGTGGAGAGATGAAAGGCAAGAGGAGGTGAGGTCAGAAGGAAGGGATCAGGTCGGGTCAAAGAGACAATGGCGAGAGAAGTTTGTGCTACGACCTCTGGGACTTTAGAGGTCACTGACTTGCTGAACCGCAGCTCTCTGTGCGATCAACACCCCTGCTCGCCACAGAAATGCCCTTTTCCTTTACATCACGCCTTCCCCACTCTCACAGCGTTTTCACACGTATCATAAACACTGCCTCATTAGTGACTCGCCACAAGTCATACACGGAGGAAATGGCAGGTCCTGTCATACCACGTTCATTCCTTCCCTCTGTGCCTCAGCTTGAAATATCAGCACAGGTATAAGGTCTTATTATTTCCTTTACAGCACTGACGGCATATATCATACAACAGGTAAGAGCATATAATGTCACAAGGCACAGACATAAACTATATCCCCCAACATATTTTGGTGTTATAAAAGCAAAAGCATCCTTGAAAATAACTATTACAAAGCAGCCGAAGACTTACATTTATGTTTCCTTTCAACTCATGTGAAATGATTAAGTTGTCAATTACATCAAAATTTCTGCCCATGATGGTTATATTTTGACCACCACTGCAAGAAAATAAAAAGCAACAATAAGAGTTTCATAGTAAACACACAGGCCTTTGTGTTTATGAACAAAGCTACCAATTTATTCACACTTACCATGAAACTCAGTTAGATTTGAGAGCAAATGAACAAATCTTAATTTCAAATGCAAGACAATTTTTAGAAGTCTTTTTAAAGATCCTGGCTACAAAGTCATAATTTTTAAGATACATACATAAAAAAAATCACGTCAGATCCTGCTATAATTTGTAGGAAATTCCCAAATCCTTTCATGGAATTTTGAGTTTGTTGTGTCATGTTGCCACATATAATCAGATCATCAGCTGTATCTTGCAAAGGTTTCACTGAACAGAATGTTGTTTGATTGCTGCTTAATCTATATGAAGATTCTTCAATCTAACAATTTTCAAAATCAAACTCCTTACCTACCAATTATATTTATTTAGGGAGACAGAAAACTCTTTGGACAAGGTAAAATTATAAGTGGCAGCAAAGCATATAAATAATAGCTACATTCTATCTCCCTCAAACCAAGCTGAATGAGTTCATATATTCTTAGCACATAATCGCATATCAGCAAAGTGGTCATTAGATGTGAAATAAACAGCTGTTCCCAGCTCTGGCTGCCCTCACACCCTCATTCGTGTAGGTCACTAGACACTCATTCCAGGGGACAGGAGCTTGGTATGTCAGCTGGGCCCATGACGACAAGCCCAGGACGTGGGCACCAGCAGGCTAATTGTGTAGGGCAGAAGAAAGACATCAAGCCCTGAACTTTCCCGCCACAAGGACCAAGGGCCCAGCTGGCCTCATGCCAGCCTGTCGCCGTTACTAGAAACCAAACCAAGCTTGGCCCACGGCCGCACTGCAGAGCCGTGTTCTTGCCTAGGAGTCACCGAGAGACACAGAATGTCACAGGTGACCGGAAAGCAAGAAGCCTCTTATTTTATGGCAAAGCGGAACACTAGCGTCTTACAGCATAGCACCCCGGGATCCCGGGCAACACTCCATGCCTCAGCTTCCTCATCTGCAAAAGAGGCCACTCAGAGTAGAACCTTTCTGCTTGTGAGTATGAACTGAGTCAATAGCTATAACACAGCAGGCATGTGGATAGTGCCGCACACCAATGGGCGCTTTTATTCATAGGAAGGAATTAGACCCAGAGCAGGGACTGGCATGCTTGGGCCTTTGTCTGGAAACGTCAGTTTTCCTCACGTCGCTGTTATGGGTGGAACTATTGAAGCCCTCATCCCTAGTGCCTCAGAAGGTGACTGCTTCTGGAGACAGGGTCTTTAAATAGGCCATCAAGGTTAAAGGAGGCCATTGGGGTAGGCCCAAGTCCAATATGCTGGTGTTCTTATAAAAAGAGGAGGTTAGGACACAGACAGGCACAGGGGGAGACCATGTGAGGACACAGGGAGGAGAAGGCTCTCTGTGAGCCAAGTAGAGAGGCCTCAGAAGAAACCAACCCGATAGCACCTTGATCTTGGAGGACTAGCCTCCAGAAGTTTGATGACATAAATATCTGTTATTGAAGCCACCCAGTTTGTGGCACTTTGCTATGGAAGCCCTAGCAGCCTAATGTGTCCACCTCTCATTAATCTTAAATAAGAATATTCAAAGTTGATATTTTTTTCTTTTTTCTTTTTAAAGCTTCATCTGTAGTTTCACCTAGACAGTACTTTGAAAGTAAGCTTCATGCTGTGGTAGGTGAAGAAACTATTTTAAGGTTATTTTCCAAAACCTAAATGTGAATTCAAATTCAACTAGTGAAATAATTTTTTTTTTTTTGGACTCATCTGGAAAGGTTTATTTCAGAATTTCCATCTCTCATGTAGGGAAAATCCTTGAAATTATATACTGCTTATGATTTAGATAGCTCCCAATACTTCCTCCAATGATTCAAAACAGCTTACTCTAAAGGTTTTAAAACAAAGGATGTAAGAAGGAAAAAGCTTTGTGTTATGGTAAAAATGAGACAGAGTGAAGAAGGGTACGTGTCTGTACCAGATGATTCCTATATGAAATTGAATAAAATTCATGAACTTTATGCACCACTTTTTAACCACAATGAGAGAAAAATCTGAACCTGGAAAATACCTGATCCAGGTGGTAGCAGGATAGATGAGGGAACAGCGTGGCAGAGCAATGTAAGACAAGGACCCCACAGAAGAGCAGTTCCCGCCATCGAACTGGATACACACATCCTTCATTTCTTTGCGGCTTGATGGCAGAGAGAATTTCATATGGGTGTCATTTAGCACGTGGCTCACCCGCACTCTAGGAAAGGGTAGAAACAGAACTCATATGAAACAGATAGCCCAACTGCTTACCAACAACAGTTCATGACTAGCAGACAGCTGCAGGCAACTGCTGATTAATCAGGGCACCTCTCCTGTTGGGGTGTTATCCCAGGCAGGGTTCCTCTTTCTTTCGTGAAATGAGGTTTGTGAATCCTCACCTGAGGATATTTTTTCCATTGCTTTTTCAGAAACAGTGGAAGGGACGAAAGTGTGTGTGTGTGTGTGTGGGGGGGGGGAGGCAGAGGGAGATTTCATATATATATATATATATACACACACACACACACACACATACATATAACACACGCACATATATATATATATAATCATCTGGTACACACATCTATATATATATATATATATAGAGAGAGAGAGAGAGAGACATCAATGTAAGAGAGGCACATTGATTGGTTGCCTCCTGCATATGCCATATGCCCTGACAGTGGGGGCAAGGGGAGGGCAGAGAGCAAACCCGCAACTAAGGTATGTGCCTTGACCAGGAATTGAACCTGTAACCCTTTGGTGCTCAGGCTGACACTAATCACTGAGCAACACTGGCCAGGGCTCTTTTGTGCATTTTTATGTGTTTTTTTTTATTTGCATTTCTCTTGGAAATGAGGGAAGAAGCAGCCAATAGAAAGTAGAACATGACTGGGTATTAAGTTATATTAAGGAATTGTCGTTAATTTTGTTGAGTACAACCATGGCACTATCCTAATCTGTCAGAGATACATACTGAAATATTTATGAGTGAAAGGATATGGTGTCTGGGATATGCTTTGAAAAATTCTGACTGTTTCTTCCTTTCCCTCCAAAAATGTGGAGGAGATGGATGAAACAAGATTGGCAAATGTTGGTAAGTTCTGAAGCTGGTGGATGGGTACAGAGAGCTTCATACACTCTTCTCTCTTGTGTATGTTTGGAAATGTCCTTAATGGAAAGCTAAAAAAAAAAAAAAAAGAGAGAGAGAGAGAGAGAGAGAGAGAGAGAGAGAGAGAGAGAGAGAGAGAGAGAGAGAGAGAGAGAGAGAGAAAAGTCCCAGTTGAGCTCTGAGGGTAGAACTCAACCCTGGGCAGAGAGGGGGTAATTCTGCTGTACAGAGAGCACTGAGCCCAGGACTGAAGTCCACCCGAGGCCCAGGGGGCTCAGAATCCAGCAAGCATCAGAGCCAAGCTGCCTACCAACTTGCTCCAGACCGGAAATTAGCTGGACTCTCCTGGTGTGCCTGGCACCTGCAGGGTGTGCCCTTGCCACCCTTCAGGAGTCAAAGCAAAGCCTTCTACAACATGCCCCCTGAAACCCACAGCTTCCTCGGTGCGTCGTGTCTGCAATAGGCATCTAAAGCACTGTCATTAGGACTGGGTGTATCTGAACAATACTCAGTGTAATTTTGCTAAAGGAGAATTTATTATTACAAAGGACATGTGCATGATAATTAACTTTCATGCACAGATCTTTTAAGCTGTAATAATGGATTCAAACAGTAAGGCAACATCAAAAAACACACGGGTCAGTTTGTACTTACACCTCCTCAGACTTTCATTCTAGTTCTTGGAAACTCTTCATAGAATAACTGATAATTAAAAAATTCAAACTTCTTTACAAGTTTTAGAAAGAGGTGGGAATGTAGGTTGTTCCACTACCATTCTCATATCTTTCTCTTTTAGAGTAATTAGGCTTTAAAAAAATACTATATTGAAAGAGTTTGAGATTACAACATGAATTCAGATGTAGGATTAACTGGGCATTATGTTTACTGCTTGTGAACTTGGGTTCACCACACAAATGTGGTTAGTGAAATGCTACATGCAGAAAGGTCTCTGACTCATTGAATTTAATAACTGCAGTATCTCAAGACACATTCGGAATTGAAATGAGAGCATAAAGAGTCAGGAACAGGGTAAAGCTCTGAAAAATGACTTACTTCCCAGTGAACACACTGGGATTTTGTTGTACGAAATGACAAGCTTTTGCAACAAGGTGTTTAGCCAGGATAAATGGCACAAAAATACCCATGGCGTGCAGATCAGCCACTAACATGAGCTGGATAATTCTGGTAAGTAGCAGAACAAGGAAAGCCATCGGTGAGCAGCTTTTCCCAAAAGGTGACAGACATCCCAAATTTACTTTGAGGAGGGAAAGGGGATGGCAGCTATATGTGGCAAATGAATTAAAACAGAAAATCAGTAAATAAGTGTGGCAGATTGGAACGCTGTACAAATCTGTTTTAGTAGTTAAAAACCAAAACACCACGCTTCAGCAGATTGCCGTCAATGCATTCCCATGATGGGGAAGAGCTCAGTATTATACTTCATGTAGACGGCAACGTCTTTTATCTCAAATTAGCCCAAACTTACAAAAGCTAACAAGCACAAAACTCAAATTATCTATCATACTATTCAATATTATCACATCTCTTTTTTGAGGGGGGAGTGTAGCATTGGTATAAGACTGTCAGTGAGACACTGAAATGTTTCCTCTCAAAAGTTTCATTGGAAGGATGAATTAGGGGAAAAGAAGTCATAGAAATAATGATGTTCACGTGTTATACTGACCAGTTACTTTTTGGATAGGGGTATTTCTTTTTCTTTCTTTTTTAAAAAAATACTAATTTACATTCTATTTAGGTATTATTTGGGCCTGAAATCAATCCAAAAATGAGAAGGCTATAAAAAATAAAGTAGATCAGAAAATTTCTTCTTTTGCTATTATTTTGCCATCACAATTGGAGGTACAGCTCAGTTGGTATGGCTTAATAGTTGACTCAACCAGGAAATCACAGTTTGATTCTGGATCAAGGCACATGCCCAGGTTTTGGGCTCAATCCTGAGTAGGGGGCTTACAGGAGGCAGCCAATCAATGATCCTCTCTCATCACTGATGTTTAAATTTCTCCCTTCTTCTCTGAAATCAATAAAAATACATTTAAAAATATGAGGTACTCCACTGTTTTTTTCTAAGTGGATCATCTTCAAAATGGTATTTGATGTTCAAAATACTTGGTTTTGTTTAATGAAAACAAATCAAGACCCAAAAGAGACAACATCCTGAAATTGTTGTGTACTGAGATTTTGGGGGGTAGCATGGGACAGATTCTTTCACAATTAACTTCAAATGTAATGTATAAATTATTCTATTAAACATATTTTATATCAAATATTCAGAGTCATTGGTCCACTCTGGCACATGGAAATAATTTGGCTACATAATAATTATATTTGGCATAAGTTTTAGCATTTCACCACATTATTGAGAAAAAATTACTAATATTTGAACTCACACATCCTTATCACAAGTACTGGTTCCTTTCAGAATCATGACGATGTTATCAGATGCCCGGGTGAAGTTTGCTCCTGTGACTATCACGTTACTTTTCCCTAAGGTTGATATTTTCTGTGGCTCAATGGACTTAACAGAGAAGACCTATTGGAAATAAAAGAGTAAAACACTAGATCAAAGCTAAGAAATGGCATTGCTCCCCAAAAAAAAAAAAAAAAATCTGTTTTTGCACTGCAGTTCGAAGAAATCACTGGAAAATTACGACATTTTGCAAACACGAGCAGACAGTGTTTAATGAAATCAATGAATTCAAGGAAGAGCACTGAAGATTCATGTCTCTCAACATGCGACAGCATGAGGTCAAACCAATTAGTCTTTGTCTCATAAGACAGTTGAAAATACAGTTGAAGAGCCTGACATTCTGTCTGAAGAGTGAAATAGCATGAGAGTCTCAAAAATGCCAGCCGCCGTCCGGCCCCTGGAGGCTCAGAATGTAACAAAATGAAAAAAGAGACAAGGAGTCCACTGCTCAGGGGCCAATAACAGACTCATCATTAGTTAGGATAAATGCCATTTTAGATAACTTTAATTCCCAAGAAAGCGGTTCCTGTTTTTTGTTGTTGTTTGTTTATTTGTTATTTCAGATAGGCTATTTGAATCAAGAAGTATACTGTAGGGAGAAACCTGGTCAGTCACCTAATATCAAGTAGTTGGATGCCTAACCCATGTGGCCAACCACTGCTTCTTCACAGTTTGCAGATATCACCATTTCCTCCTTGATACCCATTGCAAGCTTTATCAGGCCTTTCTGCATCAAGTAAGTTTCCCTTGGAAACCTGATACCGGCCCTGCATTATGCACCTTACTTCTTCATTTGCAATGTCTAATCAAATTTCCTTAAAAAAAAAAAAAAAAAAAAAAAAAAAGCCCTACTGGTTTGGCTCAGTGGATAGAGTGAATGGTTCAATTTCGGGTTCCATCCCCAGTAGGGGGCATGCAGGAGGCAGTCGACCAATGATTCTCTCTCTGATGTTTCTATCTCTCTGCCTTTCCCTTCCTCTCTGAAACCAATAAAAATATATTAAAAAAAATAAATGAAAAAAAAAGATCTTTTTCATGCTAAGAATCATTTTCCTTTTCAAAGCTAAAACAATTCCGATTTCTTACTTTTCTCCTATAGATGCTGCCATCTATCATTGTGATCATTTTGTGGTGCTTCTGTAGAGCATTACTGGCAAGTCTGTAATTTCCTATAATGGGGTGACTAAAACTATTATAGACAGGAGGTTCTAAGATTCTGGCCAATACAAAGTACAACAGATCTTTAGCGTGAGTGACTCGCACTCTTGATATCTGAAAACAACCTGTAGGTCCAGAAATGCATAGTCATGTGGAATTTGGTCAAGTCTTAAACACTGAGTGTATCCACTTGGAGGATGAAGTTTAGGAGGAAGGATCTTCCTTTGCTGGGAAAGTTTCAGTCACATCCAACACCTGCCTATCATCTGCTTCTTGAGGCAGCCTCGTATTCTCAGCTCCTTTGTGTGTGACACTCACCAGGATGGCCTTGTTGGGCTGCTGGGCTGGGCCATCCCACTGAAAGGGATGCTTGATCATTCTGCCACTTGGCAAACACAGGTGCTATATGGTAGAGGGATCACCATCACTCATCATCATTATGGATTGTTTTTTCCGATGGAGGTAAATCCATCGTTAATGTCATTACAGCAATGATGTAATGTGACAGAGAATTGATTTCGGTGGCAGAGTTTATTTTGATCGCCTGGTAAAGGACTTTAGCCCCATATTTATAGAATCATGGAGGGCCTGAAAGGGTCACTTTAATTATTCTGTTATACTTGAGTGCATTTTATGGGGGAAATTATCTGCAAGAGTGGTCCTTGGAATGGAGGGATTAGCAGAGACTTAAAGATAAATCCCTTGCAAATGTCAAGTGTGTGTTGTATAGAAAAGGCTTACTCTTTGCTCTGACATCGTGACAGCCAAGTGAAGAAGTATTTACCGAACACTAGAGCATCCCAGGAATAGCGCTAGGTGCTGTGGGGGCACATAATGTGCGCATTAGGTCAAGAGCTGGCAAACTACTGGATTTGTCTGTAGCAGCCAGATCCACCCTATGGCTTGTTTCTTTATGGCCCATGAAAATTTGTCACAAAAAAAAAGTAATAATACATGACATGTGACAATACATGAAATTGAAATTTCACTGTCCATAAAGAAAGTGTTTTTTGGAATATAGGCACACCCACTCATTTGTGCACTTTCTTTTTGCCTTTGTTTCTGTTGATGTTAATCCTCACCTGAGGATATTTTTCCCATTGTTTTTTTAGAAAATGGAAGGAAGGGAGGGAGGGGGAGGAAGAGATAGAGAGAAAGGGGGAGAGAGAGCGAGAGCGAGCGAGCGAGGGAGACCAACTGCACACAGGGGTTGGGATCAAACTTGCAACCCAGTTACGTGCCTTTGACTGGTAATTGAACTCACAATCCTTCGGGCTGGCACTCTAACCACTGAATCACACTGGCCAGAGCATGGTGGCTACTTTCACACTAAGGTGGCAGACTTTAAGCATTACAATAGAAACCTCATAGCTCACAAAGCCTAAAATATTTATTGTCTGGCTCTTTATAGAAAAGTTTGCTGACTCCTACACTAGAGGAGTCCACTGTCTTCCTAGGGGATCAAGAGAAACCATGTATTTGTTTTATGTGAATATCAATGTAGACTCATATTTACATCCAAGCCAAATACGATTCCCAGGGTCCTTTCTACAATAGATAGCCCTTTCTGCTTCTTATATTTATACTGTTGATGTCTATTCAAGCAAATGCTACTTCTCTCCTCTGAATAGAGGGTGAAGAAAGCCTTATAACGAATGTACATGAGGCTTGGAGGGGGTTATATTTTGTTGCTTAAATGGCTCAATAAACACTATCAAGAGGACCAGCCACATTTCCTTCTTTTTATTCGCCCCCGAGGAGAGAAGCCCTGCCACTTCAAAAGGATTTCATTTGAAACCTTATTGTTTGGAGAAGTTTCCACTGGCTTCTAGGATGGAATCCAGCTCTGGACTATCTCATGAAAGCAGATGCCTCCACTCTGTTTTCAAAGAGGGTCAGATTAGTTGTTCTTTGTTTGCTTGGAGAATCTCTCCTAATCTTAATAAGTGAGTCAAAGAGCTACCAAGAGGACCTTATTAAATAAATAGTGCAGGTACACACACATACACACACACACACACACACACACCCCTTGGGTAGCTACATGGCTGTGCTATTCAACTGCAACAATTCTTAGAAATATAACATTTTCTATTTTTACTGATAAAGATTTCTAAAATCCAGTATAGACTAAAAGCAAAGAATTATCTCCCCACAACTGTTCCACACACTTAGTATTTTAGGTTGATTTTTGTATTTTAATCAAGAGTTTATTCACCATCTGACATGAAGTAGTGGGCCCCACAAGCTTGTACATAGAAGGATTTGGGTAACTTAAAAACATAATCTAGCTTGATACAAAGACAATTTCTATAGGAATATTCCTCCCCATCCTATGTCCAAGGATTTCCACATCAAGTCAAAATAACTTAGAATGTAACCCTCATTGCCCTGTGGTGTCCAGCAATTAGCTTCAGAATAGCCTACTCCCAGTCAGTTACATCTGAAAGACTTAAGAGTTATTTTTAAATGGCTGCCCAAATGTAAATTATGTAATAAAACAGTATGAGCTCTGGTTGCTTAAATCACTCCGTTTTGTACAAGAAAACACATCAGAAATGGGTTAACTAGTCAATTGCCCAAGGAGTTGTAGTTTTAAAAAAAACAAAGTCATTTAAGTTATTGGAAATAGAACACCACTGAGAAATAGTCATCTTTGAAAAGGTCTAAGAGGATTACTCTCGACAGAAAGTGTACCTTTTATGAAGTCTGACGTCAACACAATTCAAACTGCCATGACATTAATGGAGAGGGTACTGCTAGGATTGAAAAGAATATTGGAAAGAGGTACATTGGGAAGGCTCAGTTTATTAAGGCCAACTTGTTCTCTATTAATCTGTTAAAAAGAATCTGAATATAGCAAAGCTCTCTGTAGGCCTGGGCCTGAATCAACATTCAGTAAAATGACTCTCAGATTTTCCCTCATGAAATTAGTTCAAACAGGACTGGATGAAAGTCACGTGGATTCAAACCCAGCTGGAAATCTGAAACCAAAGGACCTTAGAGAGATGAAAGGTAGTGTAACTAATTAAAGGAAAGTGTCCTGTAGGGCTCTACAGGGGTGAGGATTTGGTTCAGAATTATTTAACGTCTTTATTAATGACTGAGCAGGACAGAAGTAATATATTAATGAAACGTACAGATTGAGACGAGTGGCAACCAGCAGTTGAGATGCTAAAGTGTAAAAGGTGAGAGATGGGAAGAAAATAGCAAAATACAATCCCACCAAAGAAAAGTTAGAGAGCTAAATGGATCAAATGGATTATCTATTTGCTGCTTGGGCCCCTGGTACAGACCTCAGGAACTTGAGATGTAATTTCCAGTTTGTCCCTGGAACAGGCAAGAGCTAAAATGCTGACTGAGGATAAACCTGTGACCTCCAAGGAGAAGATGATGGACCCCAGCTCCGTGCTGAGAGATCAAGGCTCACTTCTCTGACGTGGGGACTCTAAGGTGAGGCTGCCATGGCGCGGGGTGGGGCTGCCAAGGCCACTCCATAGAGCTGCTACCCTTTGTCACTGAGACCTCCTGAAGTGGTGTCTCAGAACTGGACTGGCCGATCCGACTGGCCAACCAGGACTCCATGACCAGGGAGGACAGCTCTCCCTGTCCATCAGAGACCCTTGGTTGAAGATTGACCCAGCCACTCAAGATCCACCTTCTGCTGGGTTTCACTTTGGCACGAGACTCTTGCTGCTCCACTCTCCTAAGGGCCTCAGTTTCCCTTCTGTCTTGGAGAAGATGACAGCTTTGTCTGGGTCTGATTCCATCACTCTGACACCCCAACCTACCCATCTCCACCGGAGGCTAGATACTAACGGCCCGCCTCACACCTGCGCAGGCTGGAGGTCTTTGTCCCACCGTCTGCGGCACAGATGGGGCAGGCTTGGCAGCCAAATGCCAAG